ATTATTCCCACTATTTAGATAAATTGTGGGTGGTCAGAAAGTCAAGAGCAATTAGCCGAACTGGCACTGTTCATGTTACCATATCCCCAAAGAGGCTATTTCAGAGAAAAGGTCACATCTTGAGAGAACGCCCAATGATGAATGTACGTGTAGCAGCACCAGATTCAAAAGTGTCAGTACAGGCACACAGACTTGGCACAAGCGGATCTAGAGTATGGTCTTTGAAAAGGAAAATCACCAGAAACCTTGACCTGAACACACACAAGATGATGGTACTGAGAAATCTGCTGAAAAGGCCAACCTGCCTTCCTGAAAGTTGTGTGAACTCTAGCAAGGCTGACAGTCTCCTCTCCATATCCACAGTTCAAGAGGTCAGTGTATACCACACACAGTCTGGTTTCTCTGTCCTCACCTCGCTAAAGAGTTCAAATCTTTCTCGTATTACTTTATTGGGGTTTCTGTTTTTTTCCCCATTGCTACTAAGGCTGACACCACAGTGTCCCCTACTGGAAAATGAGAGGTGCAGCAATCCAAGGTTTAAGTAACTTGGGCAAAAAAATGTCCCAATAACCTGCTGCCTCAGCCATATGGTCAGGGGAGTCATTTGTCCTGCAGAAACAAGCTGTACTTCAAGAAGAAATTTCACTGTGTTATCAGGACAGTTTCTTGGAATTTCAGACCTTATTCAATAATATCAATGGCTGCCCTATCTACACCTTCTGAATGCACAGATTCTCAAGATTGGTTCTCCATAGAGAAAACAGACTAGACAAACACGGCCTCTGCTTCTGCTCGAACTCCATTTTTCAGCATCATTTTCTCTCCAACACCATCACTTCCCCTCTATCCATTACAAGCCTCTTAGTTTGGCAAAGCAACTTGAAAGGTCTTGTCCCCCATGTGGCTCTTGGCAGGCTGAGGAGTAAAGTGCTCTGGCTCACAGCTTTCCAGGGCTGTGGAACTGCTGCTTAGTGTTAAGCTATGAAAGGAGAGGGCTCGGGTCACATCTGTGAAACGTTAGCAGAAAGAGGCGGCTGGGAGAAAGTAGGTGGCCGGCACAGCATAGCACTTTTGTTGGGTTTTGCAAGGCCACTTGGGAGATAGCTATTTGTCTTAGAACCACCTCCACCCCGATAACAGGCTGCCTTATAGTCTGCTTACTAGCTAGGGGCTTAAATATTTCTGCAGACTCAGGCTACTTGGATGGATGGCGACAGCGCCTGATAGAAAATCAATCACTTCAAGGGGGTGGAAGCTTTAAAAGGGAATTAATTAACTGTGCTAATACTAGGAGACGAAGCAGGTTCACGTCTCTTAGCCTCAGTCCTCCACTCAGGGCTTCTGCAGGGCCCATGAAAGCACTATCAGAAGTCTTTGTTCAACTATTAAGAGAAAATCTATCCAGAAAACCCATCTCCCACTACAAAAAGCTCTATTAAATGCTTTACAGATAACATTTGACTGCGCAAAGGAAGTTTGACTTTGTTCAGCTCCCATCTAGCTAATTCTCAGGAGCACTGAGGGAAAGAAGATGATGGGCCAATGTGAGGCGAAGAGGCAACTCCAACAGTGAGAGACAAGAGCCATCTTCAGTTTCTCTTCCCATCCTGCCCCCCAAAAACTGGAGCAGGTTAGATTTTTTTTTCAATTGTTTCAAATCCTTACATTTTGTAAAAAATCTCTCTTGTGTTTCAACAGAGTGGCACCATGTCCTATTCATCTGTTCTATATACTGTATTTGACTACCCATGAATGTGGGGGTTCTTCATTAACAGGTGTAACAGATGTGAGAATCACATGCAACTCAATGTAACTATTATAGATGTAACATTGAAACACCCAGCACATGAACCTTAGCCAAGTCTATATCCTGAGATTAACTCTGTCTACAACACAAATCTGACTGGGTATGAAACCCACACGGCAGCATTGTGTACAATACAATATCAGTGCATAAACTCTTGCAGTCATCTTTGCATCTGCTTTATCTGAAAAACAGAAACTTCCAAAATAAAGCTAAATACATTATAACAGCATCTGGCATTTCAAAATTGACAGCAAATGCCTTCACACTAACTATAACTATCCCACTGTCATTTGCTTCTATGTGTGCTTTTTTCCAATGGCCCTCCTACACTTGCTAATCTTATTTCTGTACAAGCAACTGCAGGGGAAATTTTTGTTGTGTTACATCTGGTCTGAAGGGTCTGGCTTTACATCTAGTTTTTGGATAGCTATATGGGTTTTATTTAGACTTCTGTGATGATGGATTTATAAATATTGACTGTTGGCTACTTCAATCATTTTACAGAAGGCAGATTACAAATTTAATAATAATAATAATAATATCTGGATAGAGCAGGATGAATAATGATCATTTGGAATGAAACCAGACAAATCACTATACAAATATTCTCCCTCACTCACTAAAGCATTCTTCTCTCAAAGTCTGTGCAGTTCCTCAGATACTCTATGTGATGGAAATCCCTTGGAAGCCATACCAGATTTATAGTGTACAGTCTCAAGCCAAACTGCTCCAGGTGCTATTGCTACTTTCTGGCACTGAAGCATCAACTTCAAACTATGTTGTTTAGGTTACTATTCCCAGTCTCTGAGTTTTCATCAGCTGAAAGTCCTTCTGCTGGGCTTCCATGTAGGTGGCCCACATCATAGTGCCACAGTATTTGAGAGAGGAGTTAAGCCATGAGCTGTTTTGCTCATGAGGTAAAAATGACAGATTAGTGGTTCTGAAAAGTACATTAGCTGAGACAAGTTTGTTACATTACTCCAAAAGATGAAAGAAAGAATGGTAAACAACAACTGACTGACTTGATGGCCAGAATTCTATTGCTGATTTATGCTTGTATAAAGTAAGATTTTGTATATACTGGCAGCAAACTGCTGCTCATTAACAAAGTGTTGGTTGTATTCCTGGGTGCACACCAGTTGTGTGATGGGACGCACATCCAGCAACACAACTAGCCCCTTGTTAGCAAGTGGCAATTGCCACCAAGATTTATGTGAATTCCTTTATGCAAGTATAGATCAACAACAGGGCTTCAGTCAATAATTTTTGTTCCTTTTTGTGTCCTGTTGGCAATAACAACTTGAAGACACACAGTCCTAGACCTGACACTATTTTAAATAATAAAATCCACTAAGGTTCCTACCTCTCATCTACTACATATTCCTCTCAGGAAAGATTGCCATCAGGAATGGAAAAAAATACTTCATACTTCTCCATGTTCCTGGAATGATATAAGCTTCCAAAATTTAACAGATGAAAGAGGAATTTGGCTGCTGAGTGTATGAAAAAGATATAAATCCAGCTACAAAAAAAATCCTAAACTACAGACTAGATTCGAGTCTCAGCTCCACAGATTCATAATTCCAATCTGCCGGTATCTTTTCACAAACAAATCTTATCAAATATATTTAAGAAAGGAGCAGGAAAAACAGTGTTAATCATATAGCCACAGATTTTCATTGCATTTATGAACTAAGATCTTTACATCCCATGACAAGCATACACTTCTCCATTTCCCAGACTGCTACATTCGACCGTGGCAAGGTAACAAATTAATGTAGCCCAGTGGAATAGTTTATCAAAGAAAAGTTTGAACCTAACCTTCCCAGGATAAAAGGTTAGAGTTAACAAGACCCCATTTAGATAAGAGAAAGCAATATTGAGGGTGGAAAGAGGCAGGCAACATACCTCAAACCCTATTAAAGTTTCTCTATCACTAGGAGTCTTATCTCAACCAGCAGGCCACTAGCTGCTACAAACCCCATCTAATTAAGAGGAAACACAGAGTTCAAAGAGGACAGGGTGCTGACACAAGAAGCAGACACAACTACCTAGTGAAAGGATGTGACAGCCACAGAATGGCTCTTGTTTACCTTTCAATTCTTATCGCTGGGAAACTGGTATTTTTGAGGCATTGTGCATTATTATAAATACTGATCCAGCATGTTAAGTTTTGGACATTTACAATTTGATGGATGTTTTATGTATTAGCTGCTGTTTAGTTATTCATTTAAAGAAGGGGTGATATTTTTATTGTTGGATAATATATTTTGATTTAATTGTTCTCTGCTTTGTGAACTACGTTAACGAAAGAGGAGCTATATATTGCATGAATAAATACACACAGACACACATAGATAGAAATAAATAAGAGTGGTGCTATAATCCGAAAGTCATAGCTCACCTCTGTCAAGAACTAAGCTTAGCTCAGTCAATAACATGTTGGGTGGCTTTGGGCAACCCATGATCATCTTCAGCCTCCCCTCAGTCTGAAATTAGAGGATAATTATAAAAACCTACTGTGACAAACCCAGACCTACTGGGATCTGCCACACGTTAACTAAGCTGCCACCAACCATTCCCTATAAGAAGTCACACAGACCAGGGATGGATTTTTAACAAATAAAAGAATAAGGTTTATTTAAATACACACACAGGGAAAATAAAATAATCAGGTGAATAAGATAAAGTAACGTGGCTTATTCTCATTCATACATGCATACAGTTTGGTTCACACAGAACCCTTAACTTGAAGCACAGACCCTGAACCTATCAGTTCTGGCTAACCAACAGACACCTGAACCTATCAGGTTGGTACTGACACACAGTAGTACCCTGTCTGACACACAAACTCCCACACCAGCTTCTTCTTCCCAGCTGCTGCTTCTTCACATCCCAGCGTCTAAACTTCTCCACACACGCATCACATATATATACAGTACAGCCCCTCCTCCTGATGTCCCGCCTTCCACTCCCCATAGGATGGAACTTTCCCTCCAAACCCATGACAGACAGGTAACATCAGTGCTGTATGTAACACCTACCTTTCAGAGTTTTTACAAACACTGTGATAAATGTGTTTAGTGCATTGAACACTAAAGAACTGCTGAGTTACTATAACTATTAGTCATCAGTGAAAAGCATATAAGCTTGAATAAACTTCTTTTCCATTCAGATGCCACTTTCTCCCTACCTTTTGGAATATCATGTTCAAGAGAATCCAGGAAGTCAATGGCTGGGTCCAAGTCAGCTTTTTCCAGAAGAGTTTTGTTTTTCAGATTTTCAGGCTCAGTGAAATGAAAATAGGAGCTTAACTTTTTAGCTTCTGTCAGAGACAAACCTGTTTTGTGAACAGGAAGAAAACATCAGCAGTGCTTAATAGCCTCTTTTAATAAAAAGCATGTCAGTTTTCTGCTTTTGTAGGCTATCGAATGGACCAATGTACTCACAGCACAAGTACCAATGATAGCACAAAGTATGCAGGCGTAGACCTCTATAAATCAGTGATCTTGCACTGCTGTGGACAGCTACAGGCAGTTCCATTTATATAGTCCATTCTGTACTGGCATTTGATCAAGGAAAATCTTTTGGGGCTGCTGCCAAAATAACTGAGCTTTAACATCAAAGGAAATAATCTTCAAACTAGCACTGTAACTAAAAGTATTGCAGCATCATAAGAAAAGGCCAAAGGTGACTCCATATTAAGAACATTCATAAGAAGAAGTCCTATATTGGGTCACACATTTCTCCCTTTTCTGACTTACTGCAAATGTAGAAAACATTCATATTCAACTGAGCCCATGGTAGCACATGTAGAAGAATTCTGTGTGTCTCTGAGACTGAAGGCCTCTACAAGTGGAACAAGATGCCTCGTGCTCTTGATCACAAATGCATAGTTGTTCAGTATGCTGCTGTAAATTGAGCAGCATGGCAGTAGCAAGTATAAGTGAGAAGAGTGGGCTGAAGGGTGGGCTTTCCCCCTAGTCTGCTGCAGTTGTGATCTCCCTCCCAAAAGAGTTATGGTTGGATATCTCCATTCCACTCTGCTCCCTACAAAAGCACCTAGATCAACAGTGTGTGGGAAAAGCAGCTTTCATCCATCTCTCTTCCTTTTCTACATGGATGGTAGACATGTCCACCATGACAGTGGAAAAGACTTGAGAATTTTTGTTTTATTTTGCTTTGTTATAATGGGAAGAGAAACAGGGAGAAGGTATTAGAGGCTGCAGACATGCTGTGCATCAGCACTGCCTAAAAGGAAAGGTACAGGAGAAATTGAGAGTTGTTTCCTCCTTCCCTGTTCTTTTCCCTCCAAGGTCTCTGAATACAAACAGCAGCAAAAGATGATACTCTGAGACAAAAGAATTCCAACTTGATTGCCAGGCAATACTGAGCCAGAATGGACTAGTCAACAGTGGAATAGAAGTCATAAACAGTTTGCTTGGCTTAACATCTGGTGAGTTGATATGTTGCCTGGTCAAGCCAAAACATAATGGATAGGAAGAAGCTCAAAATACTGTGCAGTTCTTATACTGATATTTACTTATTTATTTTATTGAAGTTATACCCCGCCCATCTAGTCAACTAACTCTGACTAATATAAGAACTGCACAGCAGCATCACATTCACCGCTGTCCTGAAATGAGAATTCATATACAAATACTTCTGCATGGACCTTTTCCATACCTCCTGTTTTCTTATTACCCAGAACACAATTTTTATTTCCACCATATGGACAGATGGACATTCTGCATACGCTGTGCCAGAATACTGAACAAGTTATGTCCCAAACCCACAAATGCCTCCACACTTGCAAACAGAAATAGATGGCATTATTGATCATGATTACTGCAATGTACAATGATATTTCCTATGCTCCAGCACTCATTTACCTTCAAAGTTCCTATTTTCATGTACAGGTCCAAGTGGTGACTTGACATATGCACCCCGTGGAACAATACCCACTGCCTTATCTATCTGATGTATGGCAGCTACAAGACGGATCTCCTCTTTGATCAAGGGCTATATGAAAAAAAAAGAATATTACATGCCTCAGTTTTATATAATGGCATGAGATGAGGGACAGATTTATGCAGCCTAACACATATGAGAATATTCATGTACAGTATTCATGTATCAAAGAATTTAGAACAATAGCCATGCCAATTCCACTTGTAAAATTAGCACCCCTCTCCTCTTGATGAACCTACATGTTGATAAATTCAGAATTTGACTTATATTTGCAGTGTTCAAAAATTGATGGGGATAAAATTTAGTTCATATTTAAAATATCCTTCACCTATCAAAAACAAACCAGAAAGAGTCTTATGCGCATTGGTACTCTACTGAGTATTTATGATATTACGCCCTGTCTGCTGAAATGCTTTCTGATACTGTGATTCCCTTCTTCCTACTCCATATCTGAGTAAATAGAGGAAACATCCATACCATATTTTTATCATAAGCAAAAATGCCACCACCAGCAGCAGCAGTCAATTTCCACAATCAAAAACTTCCTCCATTTTCCAGTGACTCCCACAGCTTCCATATGACAAAAATGGTACAGAAGTAGGAAGTGGTTATTTTTCAAAAATCATCCCATACTGATGGCATCATCAGCCTTCCTTGGGTATAATTGTGCCAACTGGATATTAGCCAATAAATGTTCTCAAAGTATTTTATGTGATTTTATTGATCCTCCCAAAAAAGAAGTATGAAATAACTTTAATCCCATTCTACCAAAATAATAGCAATGACATTAATGCAATTGGTAATACCATTAGTCCCTTAGCATTTTCTACTATTACAATTCCACTTCATCAGATGATAATAGAAAATGAGAAGTGACTACCAGCGAGAACCCATCTATGTCAATAAAAGGCCTGAAATGCAGGGAAGTCTGGATTGAAAAACAATTATGTGGTCTGCATCCCAGTTACTTCCTAGATGATAGTGTCAATGAGCAGCAGTCAGACCTGTAGCTTAAATCAGGCCATCTTCAGACCAAAACTGAGGGATTCACAGCATAAATCAGTTACCAAGTTATTTGTACTAGATGCCATCAAAAATAATTGTGAAGTAGGCTGTAAGCAATAGATGTAGGACTTGTCATGAATTTAAGTAAATAAACAAACAAACATATCATAGCTAACTGCCAGAAAATAGCATCAAAAGATTATAATCAACAGATTGTATGTGCAGGGATAACTAACAGCAGTTGGCTAAATTTTATGGATTACTCATATCTTTTCCTGTAGATTATAAATTCAAGCCACTTCCAGTTTCAGAAAATGAAATACTATATTATACCAGGACAAACCATTTATCACAGATAAAATGACTTTAATAAGATAAGCTGCCTAGAGTGGTCCTGAGTTGACTAGATAGGCGGGATATAAATAAAATAAATAAATAAATAAACCTGCATAAGCAACAAAGAAAAACATACCCTACAGAAGCTCATTTTGTACAAAAAGTACAAAAATTACAAAGTAACAAACCTTAAGGAAAGAACTTAAAAGAATATGAAAGCAAGACTAAGTCATCGTCATCTCCATCTAAATTTCAGGAGTTGTTCCAAAATCTTTGATTACTGATTTAATACAACTGCCAACAGTTGCTAATTTGCTTCTTGAAATCCAAAACTCAGTGATTTTGCAAGCATGTCATCTCACCCGCAAATTTTTTGGACCTGATCTTTCGGTCTGCCCCCATACACCAACAATGCTGGAAATAAGAAGTACAATATAATAACAATAGTAATAATAAAAAAATTAAGGGGCCAGGATTGTTCAATGTGATCTAGGAAACTCATGAATAAAAAGGTAAGACTTACATTCCAAGTCCAAGGTCTAGAGTCTGTCCATCTGGCCATGTGGACGCTCAATATGTAAACTTTATAGTTAATATGCAACATATGTATAGAATTATTACTGAACTCATATAGATGAAGAAAGTTTTGTGGTGCAAATATCAAGCTATACCTCTCTTAATTCCAACTGCTGGATAGCTGAGTGGGTTAGATATGGAGCTGCGAGTTGGGAGTTAAAATCCCCACTGTGCCTCCTTGACACAGGCTGCACTTGATAGGGCTCCTTCCAGCTCTATAGTTCTAAGATTGTTGTTGTTTTTGTTGTTTTCTCTCCTTCTCCCCCCCCCCCCC